CAGAGGAAAACATAGCTTGGTTTGCCGTAAAATAATCTGCTTGTGTCCAGAGTCCCTACTGACCATACATTACAAAAAACCAACCAAACAAAACAACAAAAAATAATCCACCACCAAAAACCTCCCAAACAAAACATCACCTCACAAAATGAAACCCACAGAAAATCTCCCACCTACCTTCAATGTTATCCTTTTAATTCCCTCAATGTTATCATTCTAATAGATATGAAAAACTAAGATTTATTTTTTTCCCTGGAAGTGAACTGATTTTCACATTCAAAGGGCTTTCAGGATCATAGCCCTAAGTTGCCACCAAAAGCAAAGTATGGCACTTTAACACCACCAAGCAGAATGACCATCAGATGGAAGACTGGTTTCCCATAGCCACCCTTTCCACCGTAACCCAACTACTGAACTAAATAATACCTAACCTGTGATTTTTCTTTTCTTATGCAGCTTCTCTTTCATGCATGTCAATAGCCCTGTGCAACAAATCCAGCTCCCCCTTTGTGCTCTACCCAGCTCTGCATACAGCTTCTGGGTGGATGAGAGGAATCAGGATTGCCCGATGCACAGCAACTCCTGTGTGGATGGGACAGTCACGTCCCAACAGACCAGAACCATGACCCATCATCTGGCACCTCTGTTGTGGACCAAGCCAAGCAGATCACCTGGTCCTCAACTTGCAGGCTCTGGGACAACATGTTGCACAGGAATCATAGAATCATAGAATGGTTAGAGTTGGAAGGGACCTCTAAGATCATTGAGTTCCAACCCCCCTGCCATGGGCAGGGACACCTCCCACTAGGCCAGGTTGCTCAAAGCCCCATCCAGCTGGACCTTGAACACTTCCAGGGATGAGGCATCCACAACTTGAAATCTCTTTCATTCTGACTTATTGGCTAGAAATCAGTTACAATTCAGAAGTACTTCAAAGAAGAACTGAAACACATCCACAAGACAGGATGATTACATACATGTTTGAGAAAGGAGGCTAAAACTGAAAAAAATATATTCAATAAATAGAAAAATTACTAGGATAGCAAGTGACATGCTAGAAATAATGTGGCACGTACTCAAAAGCTTAAACATCTTTCCACCTACATTTACAAAACCAATAAAAAGATATTTATTATATTCCTAGAGATCTTTCTTTATTCTCCTTTCAGATTATCACGGTGCCACCACAGCTAACACCATCAAACGTATTCCTAGTGTTGTTTGTAGGAAATGGCAAATAGATAAGGAGGAGCAGGACACATAGTAAAGTGTGAAAAGGTTAGGACTGTGAGGTAAAGCTTAATAGGATGTTGCTGCTATAGTAATCAATAATAAAATCTCCTCTTTTCCCCTTACCAAGTCATTGCCAGTTGATTTTGGAATTAACTGTACTTTTCTGATGAATGGGGCAAATTCAGCTTTCATGTATCCCCACTGAAGGTAACACTGCCTTGTCAGGTTACACAAGGACTGTTTTCTGTTCAACTAGAAAGGCTGTTTTTGTTGTTGGGTTTTTTTTTCCTTTTAATGTAAGCCTGAAGCCAAGTAATTTTCAACAGTACTGGTCCAGTTTATGGCAATGGGATAACAGAGTAGCCAAAAGTTCTCATAGTAATTTGCAAGCCTTAACTGTATCAACATTAAAAACATGCAAAAACTGTATCAACATTAAAAATTACTGCAAAGCAGTAATTGATTTTGAAAAAACACTGAGTTGATTTTATGCTTGTTAAACAGCACTCCAGTAATTACCTTGATCATCAACATCTTAAAATAGTAAAAATTAATTTTTTGCTTAAATTGCTTACATAAAATATAGATGATTTATGTTAATGGTCTAAAATCATGAAAAACGTGGAATATATGACCTTCAGACTCCAATCTTCCCCCTTTGCCTGAAGACTCTTTCTGACAATGACTCATCTGTTGGCAATGGTTTATTCTTAGCAATTACAGACTTAACATGAATGTTTAAATACCATCAAAAATATTATGATATTTCAAAGTACGTTAATGCAACATTGGTACAATCTGTGAAATCCAGTCACAAGTGAATATCAGATGATAAGTTACTTCCACTGGCTGCCCCAGTGTGGAATAGCAAGCTCAAACTGGGCTATGGAATATGTAACACAGAGCCCCTGAGAAACGGTCTGTGTCCAAGGCCAGTCACTAGCAGGCTGGATCCTAAGCCCCATAACCACCCTCTAAGATCCTAGATCCTTTTAACAAGGTCCACAAAATCAAAAAAAGGCACAACAAGACAACTCTGTCTTTTCATTATTTTGGATTACTTATCTTCTGTGGAAAGATGAGACATTCGGTCTCAGAGAATGAGCCAGACATTCTGTGAAAACATCCTTCCACACTCTTTCATCATCTTTTCCTCATTTTATTCTCCCCGTGCTTGTGCATAACCACTGCACCAGCACTTCATTTTGTTCTCTTCACTAAGTATTTTCCAACTTGCCTCTCATATTCTTGTCACTCACAGAATTCTGGCTTGAGGGTGCTTTTTTTAAACCTCAACTCGGGGATCAATGAGATAGGCTTTTAAAGAAGTTACTGCCCTGTTTGTTCCACTTAGTCTACTCCACAATTGATATATTCTGATGTATACGCTGACATGTTTCCATCAGTAACATTGTGTTCTCAAAGTAAATCAGTCTCAGGACTGTACATGATATCCACAGCCGAGCTGAACACTGCTGAAACTGTTCAAGACCAAGTGGATTGCCCCACTCGGTCTTTTTTTTCTTGCTCCTCACTGTTGTTGATTCTCTGCTGTTGATTCACTCTGTTGATTCTCTGCAACCTCCCAGCAAAAGAAGCAAACCAGAAACTCTACCTTATGTGTTGCAGTTGGTAATTCCAGAGTAAAGCTTCATATTAGGTTTTGTAGCAGAAGGGAATAATACACCTTTTCATCCTCCTTCCCCATTCACACTCCTGCCATCTACCTTGCATTGGATCTAGCAACTGGCACCTGGCAAATCTCAGTGTGAGCTGCTCCACCTCAGTCTGCAAGTGGAAAAATCACTCGATCCAACACAGCAGAGGGTGCCAAACAACACAATCAGGATTGCAAGGTGGAAAATGAGGCAACCTGCAGCAACAACCTGCAGTTAAGTACAACTATCCTTAATGTAACCCCACCCCCCATCACGTTTATTTCATCATCCTTTTGAAGATCATCGCCCTGCCCTAGGCTAAGCTGTTTTTGTTGCTGCCTTTTGTTTTCTTATGTGACTTGGTCACATTGGACATAAAAGTAATGGAATCATGATAATTCTGTGTTACAAAAGATTAATTTATTTCTATTTTCAAAATACTACTTTGGTGCTTCTCTCATTCCTAGTTGGTTTATTGAAAACTAAAATTTCTGTATACTCAAAATCCTTGTGATCAGTGAGCTTTTTATTTTGCAAAGTTGTGAAGATCAAATACAGTCAACTGTTTAGACTGATTTCTCATAATATCTATTTAAATACTTGATTCAGTGACAGAATTGCATGTTTCACGGCACAACAGGAAAAAGTCATTGATCATTTTTTTTTATTACAAACTACAATGTAAAAGTTCCTTCCATTACTTGATTACAAGTTTACTACCTCCTTGTAAATTCACTCTCATGTTTTATCCTTAATACCTCTTTAAAAATAAAACCAAAATGTAATTGTTCAGCACTCCTTTTACTCCCTGTTTCTCACAACAGGGAATACTAAATCTGTGCCAAAGTACAAGGAAATAGGACCAACCAAACTCACATATAATCACTTTCCCAACATAGTGATCTACCTCTACCTCCCCTTGCTCTCTTTGCCATTCATTGCACTGAATCTTTCCTACTCCTATTGAATATCATCCTCTCTAATCACAATTTCCAACTCCACTGGTCTCTGTATGTCAAGGCTTGGACTATTGGTGAAAAAAGGAAGCTTGATGAGAGAAGTGCTTCCTATTATTACAAATGCTGAAAGAAAAAATTGAGAGTAACACTCTACTCTTTCAAATCTTGGACAATGTGATTCTTACAGCCTCACAAATAGAACTTCCAAGAAAACAATCTGCCAGGAAAAGGAAGCCACAAGATTCTTGAAAACAAAACATGCAATGTTTTAGGATATATTAACATGCAGGAACGTAAATTATACTTAATTACAAATTACAAAATTCTCAACCCTGCAGGTGTATTTCTCAACAACATGAAACTCCGTTAAAGAACAGTTCCTTTTTCCAAGACATACACACCTAAAATTTAGAGGTCAGGAAGGAAAGAATATGGTGACAGAGTAGAAAATGGGGGGAGGAAAAAAATGGGCAAGCATGTTGAATGGAGGGAGATAAAATGATAGATTACAATTGGAGATAAAAAAAAAAAAATGCAAGCAGTAAAAATAATTTAAAAGAGTACGGAAGAAACAAAGTACTGTTTTAACACAAACCATTTCTAACTGATTAGCCAGAAATTGTTGCCTTAAAAGCTGACTCTTAAACCAGGAAATAAAAGAATGATTAACTGCTAGAAAAGTAGAAACAATATAAAAAATTGATATGAGAACATTATTTTGCATAAAAGCTTTCTATTTTTAATGATTTTTAAGACCTTCCAGTTTACAATAGTACAGCTGGGGGTTGGGAAGAACAAACATCAAGAAATCTAAGCTGCTAGTTCTTCTCTTATTTTTCCTCCATCTTTCTGTACACCCTCAGGCTCCTCCCAGAATAGATTATTTTCACAACAGCCCTATACCAAATCTTTGATCTACTGGAGTATCAGTGCTCATCTATAATTTTGCTGGGCTTTTCTGAGTATTTCTAGCACCTAACACACCTCAAATCCTACCCTTACACAGACTTTAGACTAAGATACTTCATATTGAAGCACTTCTATTCCTAAAGCAGGTAGGATTTAACTGCTATAAGCTATTCCTTGCAGTTTTAAGGTGTCACACAACTTGTAACAAATGTTAATTCAATTTGAAAGGACTTAAACCTACCTTTAAACTAGACTCATAGTCTGTGTTCACTTTGAACATAAGCCCAAGTCGCAAATGAATTTCCTTGGCTCGACAAAAGCTGGGATCAACATAAAGCGCCTCCTGAAATGCTTTAATTGCCCTGGAAAAAAAAAAAAAAAAAAAAAAAAAAAAAAAAAAAAAAAAAAAGATTAAAAAATTGTTTTTTACTGAAGCACTACTTTATAATCAATGTTATTTATATGACTAACAGAAAGTGGATCAGAAAGTACTGTTACAGAAGAACATACCAAAATAATGGTTCACATGCAATGTTTTCAGTGCATGACTTTTGATTCTCCAAGAACTGGATAATTTTGTACTCTATCTATCCAGGTATACTTGAAAGTCTAATCTTTTCTATTAATTTAGAGAAGCTAATCTGCTGCATGAAATACAGTAAAGTATCTGCTACTTCAGAAAGGATGACTCAGGAATTAGTAACAAAATCAGTGCAACTTTAGAACAACACAGTGATCATTCATGCCACTACCAACTGCCAGGTGGCTTTTGATTCCAGGTAGTGCAGACCTCCAAGAGCAGCAGCAGAACAGAAGGACTAAAAGAAGAGATCACGCATGTCTCCTTCCGTTGCACCAACCTGCTCTGCTTTCCACTTTGTTCCTCCCTTTCATAGCACCAGCACTGTGCAGGGACTCAACTAATGCCTATTGCTCCATTCCTTTCTGGTCATCCAACTACCTCCAGGAAAACACAGATATGAAAGCCTGCCACCTCCTCGTGCTGTAACTTTTCATACTCCCATGATAGAATCGGAAACCATCTTCACCTATTTCCTTACCTTTAAATCCTCTCTACACATGCCCCTGTCCATGATGGCACTGTACCAGATAAAAAAATGCTATATAACAACTCTATCTTCCGAATAGAAAGAATGTGATTCTAAACAGGACTGTTTTGCCTCTCAGGCCAACTGCATAAAATTAGGACAGCTGTAATTCAGCTAAAAAATAATAGGTTTAAATGCACAGAAAAATTAAGAAAGAAGCTAAGACTCATTGTGTTCTCTCGCCTGAAATCCAACGACAGGTTGAAACAAAATACCTTCACATACATCACTCCTCGTACAATGACAGAAATCAGAATCAGTCTCACTTAGGGTAGGATCCAAGCACCCATGCCAGGGAGCCCGTCCCCATTTGCTGTCCTAAGCAACCCCAGAGATTGACACTGAGCAGGCAGATGACATGCAAGCCTATGGGGAGAATCGTACCCACTGTGGAGCAGCACAGGGACACTGGACAGGAATTACCACAGTGCCTAAAAGCACACAGTGTTTAGCTAAATTGATTTCATTCCTGCTCTCCAAGCGCAGCCTTATTTATAAGGTTAACAGTTGCAACAGGAAATTCAATAAATATTTTTCATAGACCTTTTTATTGACAGAACACATAAATTATCATTTTTTAATCCATCAGCTTACAGGCTTTTCTCATTCTTGGTGGCAGAGCAAACCAAAGGCACAGAACTTCCTCTAGACAATGCAACAAAACTGTACCTAAAGTGTTATCTGACTTGTTTAAATACAACTTGAGAGCATTAAAAAAAAAATATTACTTTTTTATTGCGGAACTGAAGTATCCTCTACCACAATCCTTCAGAAAGCCTTTCCTTACCTGATACCCTACTTCTCTGCTAACACAAGGAAAATGAGCAGTTGAAGCACAAAAGGGACAAACTTGGATCAGCTAAGCAGTCTCTCAGATCTCATCTAATCTTGTCTGTAATAGTATGGTTGATGATGAACACATGGCTCAGTACAAACAAGGATCTATGTCTCATAACAGTATGCTCACCCATCATCTACAAGAACACTGTTCAAACTGAAAGGCCAAAAACTGGACTGATCACTAAATATCGGCACATTTTTTAATCTATATTTTTGTTACGCCAAAGTATAAACTTTACGTCTTAACTCTAATACAGTACCCAACATGCTAGCCACTGGTACTTAAAATCCATTACTTGCATCTTGATCAAAGACAGTATCCTAAGTTCTAAAAAAGAAGAAAACCAGTGTCTATGCTGCTCATCAAAGAGCAGATAAAAATCAGGAATCAAGACATTGTGGTTCTATGCCACGTGGGAGATTGTGACCATGCTCATATACATTTTGTGAGCTTCACATTCTTCACGTTTAGCTAGCTTGCTTGGTCAGAAAATAGTATTTCCATATTTCCCCTATGTCATATCTCATTTGCAAGGATCACTGAAACTTGAATTTCTAAAAAAAATGGCTTAAGAGAAACTGTAAGAGACAATAATATTTTCATAGTCTCTTGCTTACTGAACAGGAAATATTATTCATTGCCACAGCTGAGCAACAGAGTTAAACAAAGCCACAAATATTAACAACCGACTTTTAAGGACAGTTTTGAAATTCAGTTTGAATGTATACTGTCATTCATTCAAAAGAAAAGGAATGTTGTCTACCCCTGTCTTTCAGAAAACACAGCACTTAAAAACCAGTAAAATTATCATCAGTGGACAACATGTAAAGACTGTGTCTCTTTTACCACAGAACCTGCCAGCCACAGACAGCCTCTATGAGGTTTGTGTAAGGTTTATCTCCCTACAGACGACATGGCAACACCATTCGTCCTTGTATGAGCTGCTTGTGGAGTCAGGTTCAGCATTAGTAGTTATCATAAGTCTTTGAGATTATGTTGCAACTCAACGCGATTTTCCAATGAAGACAAGCCCAAAATGTGTGAGGAGGAAGAAAATTAGTAGGACAAGACACTCACTCCCTGAGACACAACCTATGCAGAAAGTACAGGCATGCTTTCCAAACCACTTTGATAGATGCTTGGAAAAATATATGAAAACAACCAAGTCAAAGGATAAAGAGATTTTTGGTTTAAGACACTGTTAAGAGTTCCCATGCTAAAAGCTAAATAGTAACATTGTAATGTACATTTCAGTCGTATTTGATCACTCATAAACTGATGGTTTTGGGAGGAAAGGCAGAGAGGCTTTAAGGGCATTATTTCCCTGAGAGGTTAAAAAATTCAAAGGAGTGTAGTGAGGGAGTATTGAGTGCTCCCATCCATTGCATTGATTTGGCAATGGAATGGACACACTAGTAGAGAGTTTGGTAAAAGACACTCTACTTAGAAATTTTCTTTCAGCTTCTAGTATGTGATGGATTTATGTTTGCAAATGAATCCATATGCACTCAAAATGCTCGGGAACTCCTGGGTCAGTGTCTTGCTTGCAGCTTAAATTCTGTATCCTTGGATGCCACAATAAAAACTAAAAGAGAATTCTGACAGGTAACATAAATTTAAATTTATAATGTAGCATAACACATGAGTAAATTAAGGAGAAAATGTCATAAGAATACACCAAATATTCCCCAAAGCAGCTTTTCTAACTAAAAAATGGATATTTTATCTTCTCCATTCAAAATATTGGCCTACATCTTACCATCTTACCTAACTCCAGTGTTAATTCTGTATTGATTATGTAATTCAGTTTTTCCAAGATGACAATCACTGATAGTAACAAATACAAATTACTTCCCCCGCTACTGTGAAAAAGGGCATCATCAAAATTTCACAAATAAAGTGATCTGAAAGGCAGCATTTTCAACAACTTCTACCAGTGGTAGGTGTTCATGTCTAGATTGGTAACTATAGCCTGATTTTTAAATAGCCAGTAGAATTTTCATAGAATAAAACACTCAAACTCCGAAAACACATTTACTTATCAACTCTTACAGACAGACAAGCACTTCTATATTATAGCTGAATTAGTATTGATCTAATTTTGCCCATGGGAAACATTTAAACAAAATAGCAATGCACTCAAGATTACAGGCCACATTAAGAATCATAGAATCATAGAATTGTCTAGGCTGGAAGGGACCTCCAAAGGTCATCTAGTCCGACCCCCCACACACAGTCAGCAGGGACACCCCCAACTAGACCAGGTTGCCCAGGGCCTCGTCGAGCCTCTCCTTGAATATCTCCAGGGATGGGGCCTCAACCACCTCCCTGGGCAACCTGTTCCAGTGCTCCACCACCCTCACAGTAAAGAGCTTTCCTCACAGTAAAGAACTTTCTCCTAAAAAGAACACGGACTACAGTAAAAACTAGCTTTATTTTGGGACTGCCTGTTTCCCAGTGCCATTCCCAGATCTCCAGACTCAGCCCCTTACAACATCAATAGCAAAACATCTGCAACATCACTGACATCCATCGCAGTTGTAAGTGCTCAGTAACATCCAACGCAGACGACATCAGGGCTTGGTACAGGTTGGTACAACACAGAAGGAAGTGGACATAAAAAGAAGCGGAAAGTAGGAGTACATGTTGTAGTAGTAAAAGGAAATGAGAAAGAATGTGGCCCAATGCTGATAACCACACTCCTTCCTGGGCCGTTCCTCAGGCCTTGCCGGAGTTGAGCCTTCTGGATACAGGAGTCACTTGGTTCTTGTACAGATCTTTCTTTACTCTGAAACATCACTAATCCTGTTTCTGTCCTCTGCCCAAGCTTACATCCAGAACAGTTCAGGTCTAGAGGATCCAAGGCATCTAAGTTACTCAGATGTTTTCCCTCAAAGCTCTCTTATGGTTTGACCAAAACCGGAAGAGCAGACATAAGCTCATTGCTTGATGATCTGTCACATACCAAGAAGGACTTGGCTTAAGAGGCTAACAGCTTCCTTCAGAGATGATGACACATAGCCTTCCTCAAATAGGTTGTTAGTCTCCACCACTAATTAACTGGCCTTCATGCACAGACAGAGCTTTTCATTTTAATCTTTCAGCAGACTAAACATACATTAGTCCAAAGGATAAATCATCAAATGAAGGGCTGGGAGCTCTCATACTACAGAAATAAATGTCAGTAGTCTAAATTCAGCAAGAGACAACTTTTGGGTTATTCTCTGAAGATATTGATCAACTGCTTGGTAAAAAACAATTTTGGTTGAGTCTAAAATAAGAGTTTTCTCTAAGCTTCCACTAACAGGAAGGAAAGGCTACCTAACACTTGAAAATGGGAAAGCAGGACTGGAAAACAGACACTATGGAGAATGAAAAGCACCTCTGGGCCTATATTTTGCACAGCACTGCT